TTTCGGACATTGATGAAAATGCACGGCTAGCAAACCCTGACGAGTGGCAGGGGTGAGAAGCCCGGGAGGGCGCAGGATCGCCTTCAAACTGTACATCTGCTGGGAACTCCTTTTCAGCATGAGTTTGTTTCAATCAAGGAATTCTGTAAGTAGAGAACATAATATCATAAAGATGGGATTTGTCTAGCTGCTGAACCACTGTTTTTGTTACCCTGAAATAGATGTTTCTTGGTCTCTCTGCTGCACCGAAACTAGAAAGCAAATTAGGGGATGGCTGGTTTATATGGACCACTGGTAGCTCCCAAGAAAGGAACCAATAGGGAAGTACACAGAATTAGAGATCAGGAAAGAGGTTTGAAGGTGGCTACAGTGAGATTGATGGAAGCGTGCTGGGAAGGAGGCGGGGGATCCTGCATCGGAGGTGGAGTAGGCCATCCAGGGTCCAGAGTTACCCTGGCCTTTCCTCCCACCTGCATGGCACACCCCTGAAGGTGCTCTGATTCACTTCTGAACCCTCAAGGACTCTGCTGATTGTGTTACCTCTGGAGTCATGTTCATAGTATAAGGGTGCTGATGAACACGGGGAGATATTTGGTCATACCTGCTGATGCCTGCCAGCCTGCATTTGGTTGAGATTTGCAGTTTTCACTTCCATGCTCTCCCAAGTACAAACTTGGCCAAAATTTTTGTTGACTTTTGGGATTGATTGCATTTTCTCTTTGTGCACTCTCAGAAGGCGCTGTGTGTATAAAGTTCTTCCCAAAACACTAAATGGTTAACAATGATTTGGACTATTTAACAAGGTCGATGAAAGCATTGACCTTTATTTTGTAGGTGGGTGGCTAAGTGGAGAAGAAATTTTCAAGGCAAGAAAGTGCACAAGGAAATGCAGGTAGAGACTTGCAGAATTGAGAGCTGCTTTTTTTTTCTTTTTTTCCTATCAGGTTCACTGACATAGGAATATAATACCATGTAGATAAAAAGCCACTCAGTTAAGTGTTTCATTTTGAGAGATTCCACCCCTGCTGGAATAATGGCAGGATCGTAACCTTTGCCACCAGATAGCATGAGTGTGACCTCCAGGACTGTTGGCTAGCCTCTGAATCTGCCTGTGGCTCAGTTTCCTCATCAGAAATAAAAGAAGGTGTATTTATCTCAGGTCATTCTGAGGATTAAATTAGATACAGTTTGTGAAAACTGGTGCCTGTTAGGCACTTAGTAAAGGCAGTTTCCCTTCCTTGTTTCTCTTCTGCTTTTAAAAATTAAGATTTGGGCATACTATAAATAAAACAAATAAAATGCACGCAGTGTGGAATTCGGGCCAGTTAAAGGGGAAAGGCCGGAGAACAAAGCAAATGCGCTGGGAGCAAGCGGGAGGGTGGGCAGCTTTGCCAACTTCATGCAAACCCAGCAGGCTTTGGGAGGGCTGGGCTCACAAACCAAATGAAAAGTATTCTTTACATTAAAAAAGAAAAAAGGCTTACAAAATCACCCTCAGAGTCTGTTAGGCAATATTTCAAGCTCTCTCTGAAGACTGGAAGCCCAGGAATTTTGGAAATACTACCCTTTCTTCATATTCAGTGGTAGAAACCTCAAGCTTCCTGCTGTGGGAAGGGGGGGTGGCCACGGTGTTTTTTTGGTCTAGAAAAGCGTTGTCACTGTCTCCTGGTGAATGCTGCCCCCTGATGGCTCTGAGCGGCACTGCGGCTTCCTAGCTTAGTTGCTCAGTGAGATTAAAGTGCAAGTAAGAGGTTCTTGTTTTTGGCTTGAGACTTCAAGAATAAAGCAGGTAAGTTTTTAAGATTGAGTTAGCTTGGACTTTTTTTTTTTTTGTGGTGGCAAAGGGCTCACCCGTCGCATTTTTTTCTCTTTATTGTTACAGTAAAGCTTTCCAATGCTGGTACTGAATGTAAAATCACAAGATGTCTAAACAGGAGCTCTGCAGGGTACCGTGACTCCGACCTTTTTCTTACCTTTTCTTTGCTTTCTATGGACCTCATGGTGGAGATACCATGTGTCTGATTCCAGCCTTGAAGCTCTGAATAAAATACTTGGAAAAATGAGCCAAACCCCTTTTCTCAATATTTGCAACTTTATTACTATTTTTTAAATGTATTTTTCCCGTTCATGTTTTGTTATTGTGGGGATGTTTGCTTAGCATAATTTGCTGGAATGATTGGAAAAAGGCCAGGGTTTGGGTGATGTGGAGATAGCGTGGGACTCAAACAAAGCCCTGGGGTACTTTTGGACAAGGATAAAGAACTAAGAAGGTTTACAGAACTATTCAAAGCAAGTTTTAACCCATAGCTGTGGTGACAGGTGTCTTCTGGTGTGAGGGTGGCCCAGGAAAGAGATGTGGCTGGACGGCCTCTTGCAATGGCAACTTAGTAGACTGGGGCAGAGTTAGCCCCTTGAGGCCTTCCAGGTGGGGGAACAGCATTGCTACTGAGGTCCATGGAAATTCTAGTATTTTATACCTGCTGCAGTCCTGGGGATGTGCTTTGCCTGTATCAATTCCTTGGCTAAATACTGACTGGACAAATGAGTAGGCAGGAATGGAGGATGTGGAACAGCCGAGGATAGGAACGTGCTTGGGGACCCAGAGGCAGTGAGCAGCAGGACGGCTGAGGAACCAGGTGCACTTTGGAGGAGGGCGGCTTGAGTTTGCAGTGAGCAGGGTCAGATTCTTGTCCTTCTGTCCGCGGACCCAGGCCTGGGAGCAGCTGGCCCCCGGTAGGCGTCCGCCTGCAAGCGCTGTGCAGGAGAAAAAGGACTCGGGTGTGTGGCTGGGGAATGGAAAGTTCTGTCCTGTTGGGTGAGCAGTATAATCAGTTCTCAGGGAGGGGTTGGTGAGAAGGGCAGCTCGTGGGTTGCAGAGGGGAAGAGGGAACCAGGAAGGAGGTTGAGGGTAGTGGGCACAAAGCTTGACTTGTTGGAGGTTGGGCAGCACCTTGGGAAGCCAGTTCATGACAAAGGTGATGAGGATGGAGGTCAGTGGAGACAAAGGACATGAGGTATGGGGAAGAAGAGACCATAGGCCCTGGGTCCCAGACAGAGCCTATTTGGAAAGAGGAGAGGGGGCATGGTGTCGTCCTGAGAAACGCAGACTTTGAAGTCAGCAGGAATTCGGCCTTTCACCAGCTTTGACCTCTGTCAAGTCTCTTAACCTCTCTGAGCCTGAGTCCTACTGAGAGCAGAACCGGGATGGGTGTTGATGACCCTGTGGGATGACAGAATGCCAGACAGTGCTTGGGGTCCAGCACACAGGAAATGCTCGTAAGTAGGTGTGAGTGTATTATCTGCACACAGAAGAGCTAGCTGTTCCCAGAGAGCTGAACAGAGGACCTGGGGTTAGAACCTACTACCTAGTGGGAAAAAGAGGGACAGTTCATCATCTTTCTAAGAATACGAAAAGTAAACTTATTGCAGAAGGTAAGTAGGAGTTTATTTCCAAAATGTTCATTTCCCCTGAGGCTTGGACTTCCTCAGAACAGGGTTCCTTTGCAGTTCTGTCACACTTTGCATTTGTGAAGAGCTTCTACAGGAAGGTTTTCACTCACTCCTCCAAGGTATTAGGGAGGGGAGCATCCGCCTTGTGAGTTACAGATGAGGAAAGAGGCTCTGAGCGAGACTGGGTGTTGTGGCCTGAGGGCAGGTCTGTTTTCTTCTCCACGCTGTGGGCCAGGGCAGGGCCTTCCCAAAAGTAAGCTTGCTGACTGATTCCAGTCACTGAGGGACCTGAAAATAGGGTTCTTTTCTGGAATGATGTCAATGCAGTTGGCGCCAGGGGTCAGGGAGTGGCCTGGAAGAGCCCCGATGGCCTCATCCAGCCTTAGGGCTCACTGGGTGTCTGGGTGTGTGTGGGGAGGGGCGTTGGAACCCCTCCTCAGGAGGAGGATGGTGAATGAAGCCTCAGATGAAAGTTTCTGGTTGCCACCCCCTTCCCAGCTCTTCCCACTGCGAAGTGTGCTGGACAAAGCTCCCCAGCTGTCTGCTTCCTGGAGTAGGGTAAATGGGGGTACACTGGTGCCTCAGACGATGCTGAAACGATATATGCCTTTTTAAGAACAGCTCCCCTTCATCACAGGATGACCCCTGGGGCCTCGTCAGGGCTGCTGCCAGTGTCTGCATCAGCCCTGAAGGCACGTAGCCCTTATCCTGCTGGAGGCAGTGAGGAGGTCTGGGTGTGGACTCAGGAGACCAGATTTCGTTCAGGCTCCAGCCCCAACTACCTTTATGGCTGAGAACAAGTCACTAAGCCCTCAGCAATAGTTTCCTAGGTGGAAGGTGAGGAGGAGAGGTTGAGTGGCTCCTTTCTATGGCTCTTTGCAGCTTTGAAGCCAATGAAGCTTCAGAATCCATGAGTATCCAACAGATGTCCTTAGCAACATCCCATGTGGGAACCCGACGTAAGGACGCGGTCATTGGGGTGTGTGTGCTGAGGCCGAGCTCAGACTGCTCCCTGCACACAGAGCAGTCTGCACAGCACAACACTAGATGCAGCTCTCAGACACAGAAATAGAAGATTTGTTAAATTAACAAAGGTGCATCCATCTAGGAAAATACTGTGTGGCTTCTAAAAGTGTTTTCATAAAGAATAACACTTAATGATAGAGTAAAATCTACCCAAGATACTAAGTGAAATCTCAGTTTACAAACCACGATCCCATTTTTGTGGAAATGGAAGTATGTAAATACACATGCAGAAGAAAGCATGGAATGCTGGCATTGGAAAAGTGGGCATCTCTGGGAGTCAGCTTCTTGAGTTTGTTCTCCATTTGCTTATTGGTTATTTTCTAACTGTCCTCCTAGGAATGGGTATTACTTTTGTAAAAGGAAAAATACTGTCGACGTTCTGCAAAATTTAAATTAAATGAATGAGGTGTCCATTCATTTTAATGGACACTTAGAGGCAGGGCACTGTACTAAAGCTTCCTGACGCTTCCAGATGATAGATTAAGTCTCTGTGTCCCCTTTGCCTTCCCAGGAAAGACAGCAGCATGGCCAGCGTGCTGTCCCGGCGCCTTGGCAAGAGGTCGCTCCTGGGAGCCCGGGTGTTGGGGCCGCCCGGGGCTGCCCCTCCTGCAGAGCCTCAGGCAGAGCTGATGGTGGCTCTCCAGCCCTTCCTTGCCTCCAAGGACACTTCCTGCCACGAGCAGCCCAAGGAAATCCTCAAGGCTCCCGGCACCACAGGCCTCCAGCAGGTGGCCTTTCAGCCCAGGCAGAGGGTAGGTTGAACCCTGCATGGTCGGGTGTCTGATTGCTGCAGGTTTGGGGCAGGCAGGCCCGTGGTTCCCTGAGTGTCAGGCAAGAAACTCTGTGGGCCCTGATTTGTGCACAGACCTCTTCCTTGCAGCCCTGTGGGCCTTGGGCAGCAGGCTTCCTGAGAGAATGAGCTGCAGGAGCAGACCCAGGGCCCCTGCACGACAGTGCTGGCGGCCAGGACCCAACATCTAACATTCTGGACTTAGGCCTGCTCAGAATCTCAGTTCGAAGTGTGGCCAGAGCTCAGTTTCTCTGAATCTACCACAGTTTGCAACTTCAGAAAACAAGGGAAAGAATGTCAGGCTCATAAGAGACAGAGAAGATTGCGTCTTTGAATTACCTTTGGATGTTTTTGAGAGATAAAGTTGTGTGTTTAGTCTGAATGCCATTTGGATTTCCTGTTCCCTCCCATTTCCAGTGTTCCCTCCCCTTATGGCAGGGCCTAGTCATCACTTGTACCTGATAGTATCACGAGGTCCACGTGCTTGCGCTTCTCTTTGATTCTCAAGGGCCCAAAAATAGAGACTCTTATCTTTTGTCTCTCTGCCAAGGCTGACATTGTCCAGGCCTTTCTTCCCACGAGGTAAGGCAGCCTGCCAACTGCTGAGCACCCCTGAGCGAGGCAAGCCTACATTTCTACCCTGCCATCTTTCCCCAGGTAGAGTCAGAGTTTCTGAAGGGGAAAATGCAGGGTATGGGCAATTGAAGACAACGCTTGGGCCAGCAGGTACACAGGCTTCAGAGGCAAGGTAGGGCAAGAGGTCAGGAGGACGGACATGATTCCAGATTCATTTGATTGGAGAATTTAACCCATTTACATGTAAAGTGATTATGGATAAGTAAGGACTTACTTTGGCTGTTGTGCTGTTTTCTGACTTTGGTGGTTCCTTTCTTCCTTTCTTCCTCTCTTGCCATCTTCCATTGTGATTTGTTGATTTTTTTGTAGTCATATGCTTTGATTATTTTATCTTTTGTGCATCTACTAGAGGTTTTTTTTTTCTTTGTGGTTACCACGAGGCTCATGGAAAACAGTCCATTTTAAGATGATAACAACTTCCTTGCATACAGATTCCAAGTTCAGGAAAAAAAATCCCAGAAATTGACATGTTCACTGTCTCCACTTAAAGAGTTTACAAAGATCTGTTTGGGGGATAATTGATCCACGGTGGCTAGTCTGGGTGCTCAGGTGGGAGGCAGGTTCCTGGGAGCATCTGGAATTACAGATGAGTCAGAGAATGCCGTTTGTGGCAGGTGGCACGCAGAGCTTGGACATATGGGGTAAGAACCCCACAGTGCTGACCGCGTTGCTGTTTTTCTCCCCCCAGGTTCATGTGTGGTACGGGGGACAAGAGTGCACAGGACTGGTGGAGCAGCATAGCTGGGCAGAGGATAAGGTGACTGTCTGGCTGCTGGACCAGAAGTTACAAATCTGCTGCAAAGTGGAGGAGGTGTGGCTGGCGGATCCGCAGGGCCCTATTCCCCAGGTGCCACCTCTGGAGCCCAGAGCCCAGGCACCGGCCTTCAGGCCCGTCTCCAGGAACATTGACGTCCCAAAGAGGTTTGTGTGAAAGGGCCTGGGCCCTGAAAGTCTTATGGGTGGTGAGGTACCGGGTGTGGGCTGTCTCATGTTGGCGAAGGAATGTCGCCGTCCTAGATGGCTAGTTGTCAAGATATTGGACACATGGCATACAGAGAGAGGGCATTCTTTAAAAAAAAAAAAAACAGAATGGCATTTCCTTCACCATAGCTCTGTCATGGGTGATGTATCTTTTGTATATCAGGCTAAGGGCTATTTTTCCCCTCTTTATGCTTCACCTAAAGTTAGTCCCTAGCTTTTCATGATGAGAGACAGGGAATAAAATGTCTTAGATTAGGAGTCACCAAACTTATTCTGATCAGGCCACCCAGTAAATAACATGGGCTTTGTGGGCCTGTCTGTCACATGAACTCCTGAGCTCTATTCTGCACCGTCCAAATGGGTATGGTTGAGCTCCAGGAAACTATGCTTAGGGATTTGGATTTTATGTGACTTTCGTGTGCCACATGTCAAGACATAATACTCCCTTGATTTTTAAAACCATTTAAAAAATGGAAAACCATTGTTAGTTTGCAAACCATTGAAAAACAAGAAGCAGGTCATGTTCAGCTCCCAGCCTGTAGGTTTGCCAACTCCTGGCTCAGATATTCAGAATGGTTGGTCTTGAATGAAGAATGTATATTTTGCTTTAGAATTTCATGATACAATTTTTTCTTGAGAACATACATATCCTAATTTCTATGTTGTATATACTCTATGTACGTTTGCTCTTTTAAGATTGAAAAAGAAAATCTACCAGTGGAAGTTGTCCCTAGTGTCTTGATCAACCAGAGCAACAATATTTGTGATTGTGAATTCAGTGGAGTGCTGACAAAGAATTTGTTTTTCTATTCTATGGAAGTAAAAAATACAAAGATCTTACAAAAAAGGAGATGCTAATATGTTTAATATATTACTAGCCTTGGTTTAGCTGCTTCAAACAAAGCCATGTTATTTTAGTGAGTCTGAATTATAAAAAAATGAATTAATCCAGTTCTTTGAAATAGATGAACCACCTAGAAATTTATTTCAGATGAACTTTTCATACTTTAGCATTAGCTTACAAAGAGCTCCAATTTTACTTCCAAGTGATGAAACTTTATATGGATGTTTAAACACGTACTTGTCAGATATTAGAGAACTCTGCTGTAGAAAGCGTGTGAGGTTCAATGAGATTTTAGTGTTTCTAGTTTACTTGCACATTGGCTGATGTACGTACTAGGTTCTGTTGACACTCAGAAGCTATCAGAATACCTCATCATTTTTCTAGGGTGCGGGGAGGGGGCAGGAATTGGTTAGTTGTAAATTTAAATACAAGTTGGGGAAAGGCAGGTAATTTTAGGGCTTTTGAATCCCAGTAGGCATCTTATATGCCCATGCTTTATTTCATTGCTTTGACTCATTTTTGTTTCCCCCCAATAAAATTCTCTCTCATAAGCTGCAGAGTTAGAGTTAGGAAGTGAATTCAGGGGAGAAGGGAGCTGCCGCAGGTGTCAGCAGTGGGATGGAGACCCACGTGCTTATACCAGGCTTGACTGATACTGTAAATGTAATTCAAAGTGAGTATTTTTCATGAAGAATGAGGAGAGACCTTTGTGCTTTAATGTACATGCTGGCTGATTGGAGTTGGGCATGTGGAAGGGACAGTCCAGAAGCAAGGTGATGATGTGACCAGCCGTGTCAGGAAGTCACCTTTGGCCATTGCTCGTTTGAATCCAGGAAGTCGGATGCAGTAGAAATGGACGAGATGATGGCGGCCATGGTCCTGACGTCGTTGTCCTGCAGCCCAGTGGTGCAGAGTCCTCCCGGGGCTGATGCCACCTTCTCTGGTAAGGAAGGGCGCCCATGTGGGTTCTGGGTGTGGCGGAGGCCCGCAGCTGACCGCTGCTCTGAGCAGCTCATCGCCAGAGTCGCCAGCCTGGCAGTCAGCTTTCTGGAGTCTCTCTTCTCACTTGCATGTCAGACTGGCTGAGGGACAGATGTTGGGTTAGACGCTGGCATTCTTTTTCCTCAGTTTCCCCATCTGGGGAGGAGTTTCCGGGTGCATTGTGAAGGTGACTGAGCATGGGACTGAGCCTCACTGGCCACTGGAGGAAGTTCTTCTGTGGGAGTGAGTGAGTGAGGCACATTGCTGGGGGCCTAAACAGGGCCAGTAGAGGAATATTTAGTTCATAAAGGTAAAAATGTACTAAATGGTCCACTAGTGGCCTCAGGATTCATGCTCCCGTTCCAAGTGCCTAATTCAGCCATGTAAATCAGTGTGGGCCAAGGGCCTGGAATGAATGAGCTGACTTCTGAACTGTATCCAGTTGTTTAATACAAACTGATAGCATCACTTCATAGCAAATTTGCAAATTAGAAGAAAATTTGTCCAGTGCGACCCCCAAAATATTTCCCCAGCAATATGGGAGGAAGAGGCATTGCTGGATATTAGTAGTTTGACAAGGTGGGTAGTGAACCTGAAGGTTTCTTTTTGAAATTCATTACAGGGCTGGCTTCACTTACTCCCAGGGAATAACTTTTTCATTGGTGTGATCTAACTGCACTGCAAGCTGCTTAAAAGCTTATGGGGAAAAAAACATAGCTCTGAACACATATCAGGAGGAAAGTGCCTTTCAAGTATCCCTCATAAGTAATCTCCCCAGAGAGAAGGTAGATTTAAAGGTGTGATAAAGCGATTGTCCGTATTTCACCCAAAGCATGTCATCAGTGACTAGGCTGCTAGTCTATGTCGTTGCCATCTGATGGCACCTAGTTGTGAAGCTAGTGTTGCGGGTCTGCTCTGCGGGCACTTGGGAGCCACCCAGCAAAATGGGGAAGAAAGGAGTCAATCTTCATGCTCTCAGGAAATTCTATGAGTTTAGGAGATTCAGGAGGTTGGTCA